CTTTCAAAGTGCTTGGTAGTAAATTTGACTTTGGGTGTCAGCAGCTTAGTGACGAGTCATATTACTATGGCCAGTCTTTTCCCCGTCGGTTTGAAGAGCTTCTCCGGATCAAGCGGAAGGGCTGCTGTCCTTCCACGATCAAGCGGAGGTCCTCTCCTTGCTTGTCGCCCCTACAGGGTGACTTTCGACCCTTTCCAGGGTCCCCCAGTGGGATAAACTGAACGATGGAGACGCTGCGATCACCAACTGGAAGTCTTCACTAATTTGTTAATGTTTATGATCATTACACCAGTAAACACCCAGTGACACTACATTAAGGGCAAATCAGAATAAACAGAGGTAAAAAAAAAATTCAGATTTTTCTCAGTTACAACCTAGATGCCATTTTCTCCTAAATCTTTCATCCAAGGACCTTTCATTGCCAATACTTTAGATGGATGAAAGTCATGGGTTCCTGTTCTGACATGGATAGATCCATCAATTATAAATATCCAGATTATTCACGTAACAAAAGATGGTGTGGAGTAGTTTTCTTGTATTATGTTTACACACACACACACACACACACACACACACACACACGAACACGTAGTTATATCTGGGCAATTCCAGTCATTAGACAGAGCTGGAATAGTGTATTGGATTCAAGCAGAAGTAAATCCCTGGGTGGGAAGACTAAAACAATGTTGATAGATTCTACTTACCAAGGAAAATAATTTCGTTTGGAATGTTGCAAGTACATCAGATGGTTGAAGAAGAAAAAATGGCATTGGAAGAATATCTTAAGGATAGTGAAGACCATGCACTGAAGCTAGTATATCAGGAAGATTTACTGAATATTGGAGAGACCAAAATGGCCTACAAAAATGACCAAATGAAGAACAGAAAAGAGGCATGGAAAAATAAAATATTACACGGCCAATATATTTAAAAAATAACAAAGCAGATAACAACAAGACCTGGCCTAGGAGCAGGAAAGTTGAAGAAAGAGACAGGCTAATTCTGGCTGGCACAAGACCAAGCCTTAAGAACAAATGCATACAGAATTGAGAAGATAGCAACAGACAGCAAATGCCCCTTTGCAAAGAAACTGAAGGAAGAATGGACCACCGGGTTAGCTGCTGCAAAAAGATTGCACAATTGACTATAAACAATGGTATGACAAAGGAGCAACAATAGTGCATTGAAAGATCTCAAGAAGGTCTCCTGAAAATGGCATGCTGAGCATTTTTTTCCTTCCTGCCAACAAACAGCTGATTTGGTACGTTGGCAGTGTGCTCCACATATTTTAAAAGGAGCAACTAGTATTCCCCTTCTATCCCCTCATCTAAATCGTTTATGAAGATACTGAACAGTACTGAAAGAACCTTGAGATACCCATTGCATACTTCCCTCCATGTAGATGCATTTTCACGAAGGACTACATGTTGAGTGCAGATGATCAGTTAGTTACTAATCCATGTGGTGGTGGTGCTATCTAATCCACATTTTTCTATCTTATCAAATAATAGGTTGCGGTCTATGCTATCAAATGCCTTATTGAAGTCCAAGTAAATTACTTTCATAGAATTTTGCTTGTCCACTAATTTAGTTACTTTGTCAAATAATGCCATAAGGTTTGTCTGGCATGATCTGTTTTTGACAAACCCATGTTGGTTTCTCAATCTGTTGCTTGACTATCTTTTCCAGAATTTTTTCAAGTATTAATGTCAGGCTGATTGGTCTATAGTTTCCTGGATCCATTTTTTCCCTTTTTTTGAAGATAGAAACCACGTCAACTCTTTTTCAGTCCTCTGATAGTTTCCTGGTGCTCCAGATTCTTTGAAAGATATGGCTTAGTGGTTTCAAGGTCATGTCTACTAGTTCCTTCAGACCTCTGGGATGTAATCCATCCTGGTGATTTGTACTTGTCTAGTGTGGATAGGTGTTCCCTTATCATTTCTTGCCTATTTTGACTTGCATTCCTAATATTTCTTTTATGATTCTGTTTTCGGTAGGTTGCACTATTTTCTCTTTTTGCATGAAGACAGATCAAAGAATGAGTTAAGCAGTTCCATTCTCTCCCTGCTGCTTATCACCTTCTTGTCATTTTCTCCCATTAATGGAACAATCACTTCCTTAGTTTTTATCTTGTTTTCTATATGTTGAAACATTTTAAAACTGTTTTTGGCATTTTTTTTGCAAGCTTTAGTTCATTTTGAGCCTTAGATTTGCTGACTTCATCTTTGCAGGTTCTGGCTATATGCTGATATATTGCCTTAATTATACTTGTCCTTTTTTTCTTTCAGTTTATCGGAGATTTCTTTGTGCAGCCATGCTGATTTCTTTGGAGATCTCTTATTTTTCTTCTTCGGAGTGCTAGACTGGGCTTTTATATTCTCACTTTTCAAAATTTCCCAAACTTTGATTGGATTCCCCTTGAGGATTTCATCCATGAAACCCTTCCTAAGTGAATTTGTTAAAATCAGCTCTCTTAAAATCCAAGATTCTACTTTGACTTTGCTCTGTCATGGTTCCAACAGACAGAGACAAATAAAGTGCAACTCTGAGGCTTGAAAATTCCTCAAAGAACATGTTTATTAGTTACAAAATATCAGCACGATCAAAAGTAAACCAAGTCTGAAATTCCCACTAAAAATTTCCCAGTTACAAAGTATAATGTCCCACCCACAAAACTATGCCATCACTATGTTCCCCAATTCATTCATTTGGTGGGCTTTCTTATACAATGCCCAATCCCTGATCACAGGAGCGGTAGGTAACCTTGCTTTCCATGGGACAGAAGATTATTATGACTAGTGAAGCACCTGGGCAAGCTCCCCTCCCTCTGTCCTATATGGCAACCTAGAATGAAGAGAAAGATGGCTGCAGCCAGGCTCATTGTAGAGTTGACACTTGAGCTTACATTATGTTGAATTCCAATATTGCAGAGTCACTCTTCCCCAAGATTCTTGTAACTTCAACCCCCTTCCACCATTTTATCTCTGTTAGTGAGAATTAAGTCCGGTATGGCTGACTCTCTAGTTCCCTTTTCTACCTTTTGGGAGACCAAATCTTCAAATTGGTTTGAAATCTTGATACTGTTCCTTTATTGATGCAGCCTATGATAGCATTGGCTTTTTTGGCAGCTGGCTTATACTTAAGTGGTTGTTCACTACGTCTCCTAGATCCCTCTCACTGTTACAGCTGTTGAGCCAGGTACCTATGCGTTTGTTTTTTCCTGCCTAAGTGCAAAACTTTACTTTTCCTACCACAGAACTGCATCTTGTTGGATAGGACCCAATGTTCAAGTCTGTCAAGATCCTTTTGAATTTTGACTGTATGGTGTCATCAGCAAATTTGATAAGCTTCCCTTCAATCTTCTCATGTACTGGAGGTCCTTTATGAAGATGTTGAAGAGCACCAATATGAAATCTTGATACTGTTCCTCTGTTAATGCCGCCTAGGACTGCATTGGCTTTTTTGGCAGCTGGCTCATATTTACAGTTAAGTGGTTGTCCACTATAACTCCTAAATCCCTCTCATGGTTACTGCTGTTGAGCCAGATAACACCTATTCTATACATATCCATTTGGTTTTCCTAAATGTAGAACCTTACTTTTCTCATCACTGAATTGCATTTTGTTGAATAGGCTCAGTATTCAGTGTCATCTGTAAATTTGATGAGTACCCCTTCAATCCTCTCATCTACTCTAGATCATTTAAGATGTTGAAGAGCACTGGGCCAAAGACAGAACCTTGAGTACCCCACTGCATGCTTTCCTTTATGTAAATGTAATTCCATTAAGGACTAATGCTGAGTACATTGGTTAGCAAACTGGGAATCCATCTGGTGATGGTACTGCCTATCCAGCATTATTCTGTCTTACCAAGAAGTAGGCTGTGGTCTGTGTTATCAAATGCCTTTATTCTATATCCATAGCATTTCCTTGATCTGCTAATTTAGTCACTTTGTCAAAGAAGGCAATAAGGTTTGTCTAGCATCATCTGTTTTTAACAACCCATGTTGGCTTCCAGTAATCACCTTATTCACTATTTTTTTCCAGGATTTTCCTGATATTGATGTCAGGCTGATTGGTCTGTAGTTTCCTGCATTCACTTTTTCTTCTTTTTGAACATTAGAACTACATCAACTTTTTTTCAGTCCTCTGTGTTCCAGGGTAGTCCCCCATATTCCAGTCTTGTTGATGAACAGAATTGTAAAGTTCCCTTCTACCAAAACTGGACTGAGGCATTTACTTGACATATACATAAAGTAAAAATATAAACATATATACACACATTCTGAGAAAGAAAGGAAAAGGGAAAAATAACTTTCATTGTCATATTCCCTCTCCATATTTTCATTCCTCCTCCTCAAAGAGACTGTAAAATTTGAGCAGACCAATTACTTTTCTCATGTTCACAAAGAATTTTTTTCTTTTCACAGCATAGCTTTAATAAATGATAGAAAACAAAATTTAAATGCTGGATTTTGAACACACTATTGATTCTCTGTAAATTGGACGGTTCACATTAAATTGAATAAGTAAAACTTAAGATTCAAATACATTTTAATTAGATGGATTTTAAGTGGGATATTAGAGAATATTGTGCAAGAGTGATAAGTGGTCTGATCTAAAGCAGTTCAGTATGATCATATTGGCATGCCCTAGTTAAACTTGTTTAAGTGATGTCTACTGAACTATTTGTGATTTTTACTGAAACTAGCTATATGTTGTGGAGTTGGTAAAGGATTCATACTTGCAATTTCACAATTCTTTGTGCCCCAAATCCTAAATTTCACTATGTATATCTTCCCATGTCAGTTGATTCTGGTATTGCAAAGTAAAAAGAGTAAAAAAAGAGATCCCTGTTGCGGAAACCCTTTGGGGCCTAAATTAGAGAACATCCCTGCTGCTGCTGTCAACATGAACTATAGGAATATTGTCCTGTGCCATTGTACTGAGATTAAATAGCAACTGGGAGTGATTCTCATGTTCTTTTTAATTGGTTTTCAGATTCAAACACTACAAGAACAGCTGCAGAATGGCACTAATGACCAGCTAGCTCATCTGCAGCAAGAAAATTGCAATCTCAGAGATGCTTTAAACCAAGCAACAAGCCAGACTGAGCACAAGTAAGATGGGAAGTATTACTTTGGAATTATGAGGAGATACTGTAGATAAATTTAACTTTATAAATATCTTTTTAAATATGTAAGAAAGCTTCAGAGCAAACTGAAACCAGATTAATTAACTACTGTGCCATAAAAATGCATGTAAGAGAACAGGGAAAAATAGGAATAGAGTATAGGGTTTTTAATACTGGCTTTCAGTGTAAGGCATATAGCTAATTAAATCTTTTTGACTCATGTAGGAGACCTATGTGACACATTTAGGTGAATTATGCAATTCATAGATGCTGTTTATTGTGAAGTAGATTATGTTAATATTAAGCATTAATTTCTCTGATTGAATTCTGCCCTGAAAATATTCAGATAATATAATTTAAATATTTATTCTTGATTTAGTGATGCACGAATAATCTGAGATCAAAAATGCATGTTTCAAGTAATATTACTAAATCTTCAGGCAGTACTTGACCGATAATCATTCCATATGAAGTTACAATGGTGCTGAATGATTGGTAGTTACAACCAGTCTGTGAAATTCCAGCTATCCCAATTTCCCAGAGGTCATAAGATTGCAGTCTGGGTGTTTGATAAACATTTCATACTTACAACTGGTTGCAGAGTGCTGTGATCATATAATCCTTTCTACTGGCTTGCTCAGAAAATCAATGGGGAAGCTGTCAGGGAAGGTTGCAAGTTGCTGGGCTAAGTCTCCTGCACACTGTCCCCCAGGCCCTTTGTGCTCATGCTGTGCCAGCCACTCAACACTCCCATGTACCTTCCTCAACTCACAGCACAACCCTGCACATCCTGACTCACACTGCACCCTCCCCCACCTATGCCACACTTTTCACACACTCCGTTGCGCAGTTGTGCACCAACACCACACCATTCCTGTCAGCCCTCCAAGGCAGGAAACATGATCAAATGAGCTACTTTTACATTACTATAAGGCTACATTAACTGAATCTTGCAAGTCGGAAAGTACTAATTTCCCACCTTTACCGTCTGAGAATCTAGGAAGGGTTCTTTTCTGAGTGTTTTTCTCTCCCATTATGCAGTTGCAGATTATTCCCTCTCTTGTCTGACCAATCCCTAGACACCATTTCTTTGCCCCATCTTTCCAGGTCTTTTTCACATACCATTGCACTCCGTGATCTTGTTGCACACTCCCCAATGCCCGTTGCATCCTCACATACCCTCCCTAACCTTGCTGTGCCTCTCACACACTTCCTTGCAACTTCCATGCAGCATCTCTCCCATAGACCCTTGCACTCTCGTGCATCCTTCCTGGTCTACATCACACATTCAGGCACCTGACCCATACTATGCCTCTTGCACAACCCCTATCTTGTCCCAGACCACACATGCAGACACCAAAGAGTTTTGAATACTCAGTTGAGGCACTGTGAGACCCTAATGTTATTCCCCAAATCCCTCTCAGTAGAAATGCCAGGTTCCAAAAAAATCAAAGTACAGATGAAGTTAATGGGCAAATAAAAAGTCTGAGATCAAGACACAAATCCGCAAGTCCACACACAAAGTCCAGAGTCCAAGCATAAGTCCAAAGTTGTAACACAATATCCAAAACCAAGGTACATGTCCAGAATCCAGTCACAAAATCCAAGGTTCAAACATGGGGTCGAGTAATAAGGCACAGGTCTGGAAGCAGGAGTTCACAAAGTTGGAGCATACACATGGCAGGAAACAGATGGTTGTCTCCAACACTGCTTTGCACCTCATGTCAGACTAAGTAGGCACCAGCCAGTACAGCTCATCAGGAGGGGTGAGGCTGCCTCCTTGCAAGTAGCCTCACTGGCCTTTATTGCGCCTCCCTCTGCTCTGTTCTATGCACCCTGGAATCTGTTGCAGCTGCACCTCTTCTCTGCCCTGCTTGGTCATCTCTGCTCCCTGGCTGCAGCTATGTCTCACCTCTTGGCTCTTCAGCCAGGCAACCATCTGGTTCTTCATCCACAGGCCCTTCTGATGTTCCTGGCTTCCCCTCCTCTTGCTTATTCACTTCTGGCATTGAGTCTCCTGCATCCTCCTGATGGTCCTCCGCACCCACTCTGAAGTCCCTGGTGCTGGCTTTTTCTTTTCATCCAAGCCATTGTCTGTGGAAGCCATTACACCTCTTTGCACTGTTGCATACCCTTCCCAAACCTCTCATACACTCTCTCACACCTTTGCATATCCTGCCCACATCGTGCCTCCCATGCACTCCCTTGTGTACCATCCCCATCCCTCACACCTCTCATACGCCCCTATCATACACCTCCCTGACCCTTGCAGCTTCTTCCCATGCATCCCTTCACTCCCTTCCCCATCCAGCAGCAACCACTTATCTATTTGCTGGCCTGGAATTTACAACTTCTTGCCAACTCACCTACTGATTTTGGTGGTGGAATTCCGGTAAGAAGCTGCCTTGCCTAATAATCATGATATTTAGTTAATAATAGCAACTGGAATGCAAGAATCTCTGTTGCTAAGTGATGGACATTCCAATCATAATTGCCATCATAAGATACAGGAGAATCTGGACAGACTTGAACACTGGGCGCTATCTAACAAAATGAAATTCAGTGATGAAAAAAGTAAGGTTCTACATTTAGACAAGAAAAACCAAATGTACAGGTATTGTATAGGAAGTACCTTGCTCAATAGTAGTAACTGTGAGAGGGATCTCGGAGTCCTAGTGGACAATCACTTAAATATGAGCCAGCAGTGTGCTGCAGCTGCCAAAAAAGCCAACACAGTGCTAGGCTGCATTAACAGAGGGATAGAATCAAGATCACGTGAAGTACTAATACCACTTTACAATGCCTTGGTAAGGCCACACTTGGAATACTGCATCCAGTTTTAGTCACCACGATGTAAAAAAGATGTTGAGACTCTAGAAAGAGTACAGAGAAGAGTAACAAAGATGATTAGGGGACTGGAGGCTAAAACATATAAGGAACGATTGCTGGAATTGGATATGTCTAGTTTAATGAAGAGAAGGATGAGGGAGGACATGATAGCAGTGTTCCAATATCTCAGGGGCTGCCACAAAGAAGAGGGAGTCAAGCACCTGAGGGCAGGACAAGAAGCAACGGATGGAAACTAATCAAGGAGAGAAGTAACCTAGAACTAAGGAGAAACTTCCTGACAGTTAGAACAATTAACCAGTGGAACAACCTGTCTCCAGAAGTGGTGAATGTTCCAACACTGGAAGTTTTTAAGAAGAGACTGGACAGCCATTTGTCTGAAATGGTATAGTGTTTCCTGCCTGAGCAGGGGGTTGGACTAGATGACCTCCAAGGTCCCTTCCAACTTTATTATTATTATTATTATTATTATGATTATTATTTGAGGACTACCTGTACTGTCAAGTCATGGTGCCACATTTTAGAATTATATTCAAGACAACTTAATACAATCTATATTTCTTATTCTTTTTTTAAATTTAGACAAAATACTGAACTAGCTAAATTGCTTCAGGATTATAATAAACTAAGCAAGGAGTTGACTGAAAAGATGGAGGTTTTACAAGAGGTAGAGGAACAGAAGAAGGCTCTGGAGATGAAGACTGTTGCCCATGAAGAACAAATCCGCCTATTGCAGGTCAGTAATTTGCATTTCTCAATTATAATAAAGAGTTGTTTTTTTATATAGGTACAATAAGAATTATTTTTGTAGTGAAGACTGTCACAAATTAAAACGTTTTTGGATCTTTTCTTCATTGTGTTATGATTTGAACGTTACCATTTGTTGGTCTTGAATGGGTTTGCACTTCCCCATTCAAGGTTGTTATGCAGCTTGGGTTCTTCTGCACTTACAGCTACTGCTCAGAAAGCAGGTGGCAGCTATGGAAAGGACGGTTTTTACACAGGCTCACCAGGTACTTCAATTGCATCCTTTCTTCAACTAGGAAACCCTTCAGACAGTTACATATGATCTGGAACAAACAACTACCAGGAAAAATGAACCTAGACATAGACCGATGGCAGTATGTCATTCGGAGGACAAAAAAAATCAAGAACACTGTTCCTGCTGTTTAGTTGAGTCTAGTCCAGTCCAATTCCACTGCAGTGAATAAGCAGTTCATATCCTTCCCCTGAAAGAAGGCATGCAGACATTTGGGGAAGGAACTTCATCAAGTGTTCCAGTGACAGAAAGAAAAGCAACTCAGACTTTCCCAAAGAAAAAAGGCACGTGTTGGTGATAGGAGATTCACAACTCAGAGGAACAGAGCATCAGTTTGTAGATCAGACAATTTTTCTAGAGAAGTGTGTTGGCTCCCAGGTGCAAAGATTAAAGATTAACAGAGAGACTTATTGAAATAATCAAACCTACAGATTATTATCTCTTTCTCCTTTTTCATGTTGGTATGAATGATATAGCAAAGAGCCTGAAAATAATATCAAGGGACTATAAGCAACTGGGCAGGAAACCCAAAATGTAAGGAACACAAGTGGTGTTTTCTTCTGTATTTCCAAGAGAAGGTCAACATCCAATGAAGGAATGGAGGTTTCTAGAAGTAAACCTCAAGGGATAGTACCATTGAGAGAACTTCAGATTCCTAGACCATAGTTTACATTACCTACATGAAGAGCTTCTGGTAGGGGATGGGCTACACTTCACAAGGACAGGAAAGAACGTGTTTGGAAAACATCGGTCTCAATTCATCCAAAGGGTTTTAAATTAAACTGGAAGGGGAGGGAGACAAATCTTTAGAACCAAACCCCAAGAATAAACCCCAAGACAACAAATCAGACAATGAGGAAGGGAGTGGCAAGAAGGAAGGGGAACTCATGCATAAAACAGGATCCATTGATTTAGTCACTTAGTCAAAGAATGAAATAAGATTTGTTTGGCATGATCTATTTTTTTATGAAGCCATGTTGTTTCTGGTTATAACTTTGTTTGCTTCTAGCTATTTACAGTTCTGTTGCTTGATTATCTTTTCCAATATTTTTCCAGGTATTGATGTCAGTGTCAAGGTTCTGATAGATGAGGCCAAATTAATCAGAACTCTGAGGCTTGAGATTTCCTCAAAGAACAAGAATATGTTTGACCTCATAATGAGTCTTTCCCTCTACCAGAATGGGGCCAGGCGCTTTTTTGGGAATTGGCCGCAAAGACGATTCCATGATCAGTTTTAACAAGCTGCAAATGGAAAGCAGGGTGAACTTTTCTTAATAGTCATGGAAGTTGCAAGTGGACCATGACAGGATTTATAATTTTGACTATGGGAAAAAGATCAAGGAACTTAGGTCCCAATTTTTTACTCCGTAATTTTAATCTTAGATATTTTGTGGAAAGATAAGCCTTCTCTGGGTTAGAGTTTTTTTCACATTGGCCCAAACTGCTTGCAAAGAGGTCACCCACTGATCTAAAGTTAGATCTCCCCCACATGAAATGGCTTCTGGGGAGATCGCTTTTTTATCAGCCTGTTCCTTCGTAAATTTTCTGGATTACAATAGGTTCTGAAGATTTCAGAAAAACATGAAGTGGAAAGTGACTGAACAGATTGACTCCATGGTAGTAAACATTGTCCTTTCAATTGAAAAAGCTTTTCCTCACTTAATCAAAGACAGTGAAAAATAAGTTCCTAAGTGTAGTCTGGAAGCTCCAACTGGGAGCTCCAAGTATGCTATGCAAGCTACTCAGGATATTCCCCATTGTGTGAAATGTGGTATATTGTGAGATACAGCAATTAAATGTGTGGTGAAAATAATTGATAAAATTACAGATAATTGTAAACAGTCCTTAGGTTAGATATGAGTCACTAAAAAGTGCAGATTTGATATCTCACTGCACAATAAATGCTTGAGAAACATAGTTCCTTTTTGGATATGAATAAGAAGGATCAAAAGGAAGCATTATGAAGGCCTTTATAGCTAAATGGAAAATCCATACAATGTAATTTTAGGATGATACCTTCTTTCAGGACTAATAATTAATAATAGAATCATAGAGTTTGAAGAGATTTTTGAAATCCATGTATCTTCTCAGTTCAGGATTCACCAAAGCATCTCTGATAGATAACCATTCAATCTCTGAAAGGAAACTCACAACTTCATGTAGCAACTTATCCCAGTGATTGACAGCTTATAAACTGGAATCTTGTTTCTTGTACATTGCCTTTTATATTTTTTTCCTATCCAGATGCATTTCTCCCTCTTAAATTCCATCCTATTTTATTCATTCCGTTGCTTAGGCCTGCATAGATCTTAATTTTTATTTTTTTCAGCTAAAGCCATAGCCAATCCTTCTAGCTTTCTTCCACCTACATATTACTTAAGCATCTCTTCAACTTCCTAATCTAAGTGATTGATAAAAATATTGAATAACACAGAACTCTTATATTAACCCAGGTTGATTTAGTCATTTCAGTAATTTTACAATAGATTGGTGCTAATTAAAGATACATCAGTTATAACTTTCTTCAGAGAATAGTTCAAACAAAACTTGTTATAACAGAATTTTTGTAATTTTTTGGCAGCATAGCTGAAATTAAAATATTTCCAAGAAAGATGAAGTACAGGTATTAATAGATAGTTTATTCATGAGTTCATTCAGTCAATTAGTAAGAGTAGTACCATCTAGATCAGAGGGGCCCACAGGTTGTATGTGGACTACAGTACTATCAAGTGCAGCTCAAACCATATAAAATGCAATTGGATAATATTTTAAAAAATAAAAATACAGCAAAACATAGGTGATACTACATTTTAAAACTAAATAATAATGTCATGTTCATAAAAAAGCTTCATGCTGTTTCAGATTCTTTCTTTCTTTCCTTGACTTGCCAACAGAGACGGGGGGGGGGGGAGGAGAATGGAATGCATGTTGTATCTGCAGCTGTGGTGATTGTTTTAGAAACTGAAGGTTCTTTCTCATAATAATTGTCTGGAGCTTAATTGGGTGATGTGACCTGCACTGTCAGAGGGGAAAGGGAGTTGCTACGCTTTGAATATACTGCTTTCACGCCAATTTAATCAGAGTGTAAGGACCCACTTCAATCCCACATCTTAAGAAAGCAGAACTCTTGGAGACGGTTTCCTCCAAAAGGAACTTTTATTAAGAGTAGTTGAAAACAGGCATAATAGACAAGATCTGAAGGATTCCTTTACAGATCGATACTTTAAAGTGTCCCCAACCAAACCCCACCTCACAGTTCATCCAGACGGTTCCAACCAGCCAATCCCCAGGTGTTAAGTCCATTGGGGGAAAGGGGAGATAATATCGGTCCGGCTCTGGTCGTAGCATGATGTTCAAGCAGCTCTTCACACCTCCTTTTGAGACCAGAGAAATAAGCCAGGCTCCGGAGGTTGTATTTCTTTCTCCTCCCCCCCTGCTTTTTCCTGGCTGACAGGTTAGGGAGAAGAAAGTTCATAGAGAGATACAGTGCAGGAAGCAAAATGTTACATTATAGCAGGCAGCAGACAGAGGCAATAAATGAAGCAAAAGGTTACATTGTAGCGAATAGAGGAAGGGAAAGCAATAGCTCCATAGGCACATCCCCCCTCCCCCTTGGGAGTGTGGCAGAACCCAGGGAAAGGTGATATTTGTTTTTAGGTCAGAGCGGATAGGTAAAAATGAAATAGGAATGGGTTCTGACATAGAGCTGACTTGGAATGCATTTCCTAATAAAGTCTGGTATTAGAGATTGCAATATCTTGGGTATGCTTGCTTTCTTGGGATCATCAGCTGGAGTTGTGACAATGTCAGCTCTCATTAAATTTCAATTTCAACTAAGGAGTCCTGAGCCCCTTCACCCTATCCGGTCACCTCCAGAGGGGCTGTGAAGACTCAGCAGAAGATGCCTGGATGGAAGAGGAGGAAAAATTTGGAATGGAAAGGGCCAGTGGACTGGGGGAATTTCGCAGTAGGCAGCAGTCTATCAAGCAGCCATGGAAGAGATGGTGTAGTCTGGAAGTGCAGAGAGAGGAGCCGGCTGGGAGCCAGGAGTGGATCCCCCAGGCAAGGTACAGCCAACTCCTGACAGCCACGTCGAGCCTATCATCTCAATCCAACCTGAGGGCAGTGACTACTACAACTGAGGAGACAGACAGCCCCCAGGGGTTTGCCACTCCTCAATCTGGTGCTGTGGCCCAGGGCTGTTAGTCTTCCATCAAAAACCACACAACTGCTTGGCATGACTGGCCAGCCAGCCACTGCTACAACCACCAAGGCCGGCTGCTGAACCTGGGCCTTTCCCTCTGTGGGGGAGTGAGTCCCAGGACATTGGCCTGTGCTCAGAGCCCAGTAGCCCCCATAGCTAGTGCAACTGAAGTTTGGGGACCACCAAGAGACTATTTGATTCATGGTCACCCTCAAAAAGGCTGAGGATATGATCTTAGGGCTGGCTTGTCTAGCAAAGTGGGGGGGCCGAATTTATTGGGAGAGAGCCTCGAGGTGATTGGTTATGAAGAGGCAAAGTCCCAGTTCCCCTGAGGAGAAAAGGGGGAAGCCTGCATCCAAGAGAGTACCGAGACATCATGGCGGCGTTCAGTGAGAAAGAGTGCGACGTCCTGCCCCCTCACCACCCACAGACTGTGCTATCAAGATCCTGCCTGGAGCAAAGCTCCCCAAGCTGAAAATGTACTCCATGACTCAGAAGGAGATGAAAGAGCTGAAGGACTATACTGATAATAATTTAGCGAGGGGATTTAACCAAGTGGTGAAATCTCAAGTGGCGGCACCAGTGCTATTTAAAGAAAAGAAAGATGGGTCACTGAGATTGTGTGTTGATTTCCATGGGATTAATGGAGTTTGCATGGAAAACATGTACCCCCTCCCCCTCATGAAGAACATGTTGGGACATTTGGCCAAAAGGAAAATATTCATGAAATTAGACCTGAGGGAGGCGTATTATCTGGTGAAAATTAAGGAAGGCGACGAGTGTCTTCCACTTCAACCCTCTTGGGAGCTAGCTACCAATTTAAAGTGATGCCTTTTGGATTGCAGGGGGGCCCTGCTGTATTTATGCAACTCGTAAACAAGGTGCTATATGAGCATTTATATAAGGGTTTTTTAGTGTACCTGGTGACATCCTCATTTACACTGAGACCATAGACGAACATGTGAAACTCATGCGACAGGTGCCGAAAAAACTATTGGATGCTAAGCTGTTTGCTAAACTGTCGAAATGCTAGTTTTACAAGACTAACCTGGAGTACTTGAGATATTGTGTCTCATTTGAGGACATGGAGATGGACACAGCAAAAGTGAAATCCAAGCAGCTTTCTAGGGTTTGCAAATTTCTACAGACAGTTCATCCCCTCCTTCACCAAGATTGCCTTACCAATTACTGAGATGTTGAAAACAGGGAAAGGGGGGGGAAGCTCAGACTGAATCAGCCCTTGAACTGGACAATGGAATACCAAGTGGCATTCAAAAACCTAAAGAGGCTGTTCGCGGCTGAGCCAGTCTTGAAACACCCAGGTCCAGAGGAACCGTTTGTAATTCAGGCAGATGCCAGTGATGTAGCTGTGTGGGCAGTCCTCCTTCAGCTAAATAAGGAGGAAAACTTACAACCATGCACTACACATCTCTCAAACTGAATGAAACAGAATGGCAGTGGGCTGTATGGGAGAAAGAGGCTTTTGTGGTACAATGGGCATTATTGACATGAAGGCAATTCTTGAAGGGAAGTAAAGCCCCGTTTGAGGTGTGGACTGACCATAAAAATTTAGAAGCCCTGAAGACCTCCCACAAGCTCTCTCCTAAGCATGTCCGATGGGTGCAGTACTTTAAAAGATTTGATTTTGAGTTAAAATACATTTCAAGGGTGGAGAATTTCCTTGCTGATGCCCTGTCCCGCATGCCCCAGTACAAAAGCACCCGGGAAGAGGTGGTGAGTTCCATAGTTCCCAATACACAGCAAATGACACAAGCTACAATCAGGTTTGTATTGTGAAATCCAAAAAAGTGACTGTGGCTGGAAGGAATTGGATTGTTAAAACACGTTTTTCTTGTTTTAGACTGTATTAAAATTTTATTTTATGGAGGCAAGATCAAAGCTCAAGAAAAAGGGGAAAAAAGAGAAAGCACTTGACAGAGCAGATAGGAAAATACTATGGCAAACAATGCGCAATGTAGAGTAAGTGAACATCTTATTGGATTATGTAAAAGCTTATACAATGATTGCAGAAGCGTAGTGATTACAAAACAAGGAGCATCAGAACCCAATTGGAATAAAACAGGGATGTGTACTATTATCACTATTATTTATCACCTTGACAGCATAAGCAAAGCAGCTAAGCCTAGGAATGGAACTAATACCAATGAACTACTCTTTGCACATGATCAAGCATTGATAGTACATATATCTAAGGAACTGCAACAACATCTTCTGTCCATGAACCAAGAATGCAAAATAAACAATATGAATATCAACAAAGAGAAAACACGTAATAACAATCAGTAGAAAAAAAATGCACTTTAAATATAATAATAGAGGGAACAAGCATAAAATAAGTATCAGAATGCAAATATATTGAAACAACACTCACTGAAGATGGAAAAATGGACAAAGAAATTAACATACGATGCAGTAAGGCAAATTGAGTGTTGGAACAGTTAGCCCTACTCTTACAACACAAGACAGTAATGATCAGCACAAGAAGCATCTCATACAAAGCATATTCATCCCCAACTTATATTACCATTTCCACACATGGACGCTTGCAATAAAACATAACTGAAAATTACCACCACAGAAATGAGATGTTTGAGGAAATGTCTTGGGATTCTGTATCATATAAGGCAAATATAAAAAAGAGGAGAAGGCCAAAGAATAAGAGGCAGACCCCAAAGAAGATGGAGAGATAACATTAAAAAAACCACTACAACAGCATCAAATAACAATGGTTGAGGCTGTCAGAAGTGGGGGGAGGGGGGAGGAGAAGGAGGAGGTCAAAACTAAATGCCATGGTGAATTCTGTCATCACATGAGAGATGTATGGAATTCAAAGGCATTCATATACATAAGAATTCTTATACATACCGATGCATCACTTTGCTTTAATATTGAAAAATCCATTTATGCTTTATATATGCCAAGGTTTCATTAACAGAAGTGCTATCCATGTGTTCAGGTGTGAAACTATCTTTGTCCATAAATGATTTGGCAAGCATGGTAATAATGAATTCTGGTGATAGGCACAATATAGCTTATCTACTAGATACGCAGTTTGTAAAGAACAACTGTAGTTGTATATGTATATGCCTGCTTTTAATTTCTGCTCTACTCTTCATGCAGATATCCCAGAAAGAAAGTGAAGGCCTACTACAGGAGAGCTTGGATGACGTCAGGGAAGAACTCTGCAAATCACAGGCCAATTATCAATGCTTACAGATAGATCTGGAAAAGGCAAAAGAGCAGCAGTTCGATTTTGCTGGTGAGAAATTGTATGGGGATAATAGTGGATATTCTTCCATGATGAAAAATAATTAATATTTAGTTCTACTTCTGTAACTCAATTATTCTTTTTTTTCCATAGAAAATGAGTAAAATTGTGTCTTTCAGTGGGCAAATTATTCTGCTGCATAAAACAAAATAAAAGTATAGATTTCAGTGCTTTTGCTTTACTGTGTGTAACATTTTGGGTGAATTCTGTCATTTGAGTTTCAGGTACATTTCTAAGAAGGGTGGGAATTCCACTTCTGTTGTGCTTATATTTTGAGCAAATTTGGCAAATACACATTTAGAAGATCGTCATTGGTCAGAATGACATCATAACACTAATGACTATAGGTACTATCAGATATCTGGTGGGCAGGGACAGATATCCTTGCCTGCTTCTCCTATTGATATTAGTCTCTAGCATTCATATGTGTGTGAGTTTTATATATGTAATATATATATTACACACATACACACACACAAATTTAGCTGCCACTATTTATAATTTGATTCTAATTTTTATAAAGCATTAAAGAAAATATATTAAATCATGGCAAATGAAGAAAGAAAAGCAAACACAGACATACTAGAATACTAATAGTGCCCCATTTATATGTTTATGGTTTAAATCCATTTCTGATTTTTATATTTTTATTATATCTCCATACATATGCCTTTTTATAACTTATATTAGAGTGTATATGCACAGTATTGTTATTGCTTATCAATGATTATTTATTTGAAGATACAAATCAATCAGAATAGAGCTGGAAGGGACCCTGGAGGTCTTCTAATCCAGCCCCCTGCTCAAGCAGGAGTCCCTATATCATTTCAGACATGTGACTGTCCAGTTTCTTCTTAAAAACCCACAATCTCTGAAGGCAGAGATTGATTAATTGTCCTCACTGTTAGGAAGTTTCTCCTTAATTCCAGGTTGCTTCTCTCCTTGATTAGTTTCCATCCATTGTTTCTTGTCTTGCCTTCTGATGCTTTGGAAAATACTGACCTCCTCCTCCTTGTGGCAGCCTTTCAAATACTGGAATACTGCTATCATGTCCCCCCTAGTTCTTCTTTTCTCTAGACTGACCATTCCCAAATCCAGCAACCGTTCTTCGTATGTTTTAGTCTCCAGGCCTTTAATCATCTTACTTGCTCTTCTTTGCACTTTTTCCAAAGTCTGTACATATTTTTTGTAATATGGTGACCAAACCTGGATGCAGTATTCCAGATGTGGCCTTATTAAGGTTTTATAAAGCAGTACTAATACTTCATGTAATTTTGATTCTATGCCTCTTTTTTATACAACCAAGGATTCTGTTAGCTTTTTTGGCTGTTGCCACACACTGCTGATTCATGTTTAAATGATCATCCACTAGGACAGGGCTTTTCAACCTTTCACCCATTGTACCATTTTTAGGATATGGCAACATCCGAGTACCACCAGTCGCCTAGCAAGGTGTCAAAAACTTGATGACCCAAAAAAAAAAAAAGGAAAAAAGTGATAAAGTACAGGTAGTCCTCGACTTACAACAGTTCGCTTAGGGACTGTTCAAAGTTACAATAGCACTGAAAAAAGTGCCTCCCAAGGCACAGCTGAGCAAGACACCTGCCTGCCCGCCTGATGGCGCTCTTCCTCCTGTCCGAGGTTTTCATTGTTGTGAGCATTTCTGTTGAGGATTGGCAGCGGGGGTGTGGTGGTGGGGGTATTTGGTTTTTATTCCCCCTTGTCTGCTGGGTGGTTGCAGCAGGTTTTGGTCACTTCACATGACCCTGGGACACTGTGACCATCATAAATATGAATCAGATGCCAAGCATCTGAATGTAAATCACAAGACCCTGGAGATGCTGCAACATTCCAGCTCATCGGCGCTTCTTCTGGGCTCAGCAGAAGCGCCAGGATCAGTGCCGAGCTCTAGCTGGAGCCTGGCGCTGAACTGGTGCTTCCACTGAGCCCTGACAGCCCTGCAGCTCCAGCCATCTTTCACTCAGGCTTGTGTGGTGCTGCCACCGGTTCAGCTCATTCCCCTCCCCCGCTACTTTTCTAGGATGCTCGCGTACCACCTACCAGGTGTGAGTGTATCACAGGTGGTACCCGTACCACTGGTTGAAAAGCCATGCACTAGGACTCCAAGGTCTCTCCCCCAGTTACTGTTTTTGAGCCAGGTTTCACCTAATTTGTACTTGTAACTTTTGTTTTTCCTTCCCAGGTGTAAAACCTTGCTTTTCTCCACATTACATATTTTTTTGTTGGATGGGGCCCATTGTTCAAGTCTGTCAAGATCTTTTTGGATTCTGAGCTTGTCTTCTGAGGTGTTGGCTATTCCTGCCAGATTAGTGTCATTTGCAGATTTGATGAGTTCCCCTTCTATTCCCTCATCTAAGTCAATTATGAAGATATTGAAGAGTACTGGGACTAGGACGGAACCTTGTGGCACCCCACTACTTACTTCCCTCCGTGTAGATGTAGTACCATTAAGGACTACTCGTTGAGTACAGTTTGTCAGCCAGTTACAAATCCATCTGATGGTGATGCTGTCTATCCCACATCCCACCAAGAAGTAGGTTGTAGTCTACTTTGTCAAATGCCTTGATGAAGTCTAAATATACTATACTACCACAGCATTTTGCTGGTCTATTAATTTAGTCACTTTGTCAAAGAATGAAATAAGGTTGGTTTGGCATGATCTGTGCTGGCTACTAGTTATAACTTTATTTGTTTCTAGATATTCACAGATCTGTTTTTTGATTATTTTTTCCAGTATCTTCCCAGGTATTGATGTTAGGCTGATTGGTCTGTAATTTCCTGGGTCTGGTTTTTTTCCTTTTTTGAAGATGGGAACCACATCAGCTCTTCTCCAATCCTCAGGTAGTTTCCCAGTGCTCCAAGATTTTTTAAAGATATGATACAAGGGTTCTGAAATAACATCTGCCAGTTGGATTACATCCCAACTCTGGGATGTAATCCATCAGGTCCCAGGGATTTATATTCATCAAGGTCAGACTGATATTCTCATTTCTTGCTTATTTTAATTTTTATTATTTCTAGTCAGTTTTTTATAGTTGTTTTTGGTAGGTTGGGTTATAGTTTCTTTTTGTGTGAAGACTAATGCAAAGAATGAGTTAAGCAGCTCTGCTTTCTCTTTACTGCCTGTTACTTCCTTGCCATCTTCTCTCTTTAGTGAACCAACTGTTTCCTTGATTTTTTTCTTGTTATTTATATGTTAGAAGAAACTTTTTAATTATTATCTTTGACTTTTGCTGCAAGTCTTTGTTCATTCTGAGCCTTTGCTTTCTTGACTTCATCTTTGCAGATCTGCTGATATTCTGCCTTAGTTATGTGTCCCTCTTTCCATTTTTTTTTGTAATTGTCGTTTTGTCATTCAGTTTGTCAGAGAGATCTTTGTGCAGCCATGCTGGTTTCTTCTTGGATTTCTTGTTTTTCTTTTTTAGTGGTATTTTGTTGGACTGGGCTTTTATGATGGTATTTTTCAGTGTTTCCCATGCTTCTTGAATTGTTTTCCCTTTTAGGATTTTTATCCGTGAAATTTTGCTTAGACTCCCTCTGAGTTTGTTAAAATCAGCTCTTTTAAACTTTAAGACACTGGTTGCATTATATTCTATTGCTTGGGTTTGCATTATATTGAATTCCAGTATGATGTAGTCACTCTCACCCAAGGTTCCGGCAATTTCAATTCCCTCTATCACTTCTTTTCTGTTAGTAAAAAGTAAATCCAGTATAGCTTTTCCTCTAATTCCTTCCTGTATCTTTCGGATGACAAAGTTGTCAGCTAAGTTTGTTAGGAATCTGTTTGATCTCCCACTTGCTGCAGAGTTTGTCTCCCAGTTAATGTCAGGATAGTTAAAGTCTCCCATAACTACTGTGGTATACATTTGTTAATTGATTAGCAAAGAGTCAGTCTGTTTCTTCTGCTTGGTTGGGTGGCCTGTACTATATGCCTAGAGCAATGTCATTCTGTTTTCCTTTTATATTGACCCATATGGATTCTAGGAGGTTTTCATCTTTGGTTTTATGTATTTCTATAGGGATGTAGTGATCTTTTACATATAATGCAACTCCACCTCCTCCTTTGTTGGGTCTGTTTCTTTTGAATAGTTTATATCCTTCCATCAATACATTCCAGTTATGAGTTTCATCCCACCGGTTTCAGTAATGGCAATTATATCTTATCTGCCTTCATGTACTAATACTTCAAGTTTACCCTGTTTGTTCTCTAAACTTTGAGCGTTAGTATATAGCAGGGGTGTCAAACTCAATTTCATTGAGGGCTGCATCAGTATTATGGTTGCCCTCAAAGCGCCAAGTGGGCATGGCCAGGTGGATGTGGCCAGCTCAATGCTGTTCATTCAGCACAGCTGACTCGAGATAGCTGGGTCAGGACAAAACAAGTTGTATTGGCTAACTAGATGTGGGGACAACTCGTTGCCCCACAAGCTCTTCACCTCCCCAAACTGCTGGCAGCCAAGCATGTGCGCATGCACATGCACACACACCACATTCCAAGTTGGGGACTTTTATCCACAGAGGAAGGAGAGGGCCTTCTTCCCAAGTGCAGGCATGATTGGCAGTTTGCTAGCTCAGATGTGGATAGTCTCCAAATCTCCAAGCTTGGAGTGTGTGTGTGTGTGTAGTTTCTTTCAAGTCCAACTTCTGCCTTGACAGATTTCTGGAGAGCAAGAGGAGAAGGCAGGGGAGCAGCACTTCCCAGTCCTGTATGAGGGAGGCTGGCCCTTCTTGAAAGGGAATCCCCATGTCCAATCATGCATGGTAAGGATGCTGGCTTGTTGGAGCAGCCTTCCCTCATGCAGCTCCCCCACCACCTCCTACTCTTCTTCAGAGATCTTTCAAGGCAGAAGAAATTGGACTTGGAGGAAACTGCTTCCTGCAAACCTTCGCCATATCAGCATCATGGTTGCCTTCAAAGGGCCAGTTGCATGTAAGACTATTGTATCATATTAGTTCAGAAATGTACTATG